GATGAGTAGATGAGTGCATGCATGATTGAATGGATGGATGATGAATAGATGACTGGGTGGATGAATGGATGGATGGATGGTGGATGTTTGGATGGATGGATGCTTTGACACATGGATGATGAGTGGTTGGATGGATGGATTGATGGATGGATGGGTGGATAGATGAGTGGATGGATGATGGCTAGTTGGATGAATAGATAAGTGGATGGATAATTGGATGGATGGATAGATGGGTGAATGAAGTTGCATTACTGAATCAGTGACTGGCAGAGACTGAGGAAAATGGGGAGGCCCATGTCTAGGAGAAGGGCATAGATGACAAGAACGTATCCATCATGGGCAAAGAGGGCAGACTCCAAACTCTGGTATTTCTCCCTCGTCTGAAGGTGGCAGGAGACCAGAAGTACCATCCGGAATGTTTCATCTGCCTCACATGTGGGGCCTTCATTGGAGACGGGGACACCTATGCCCTGGTGGAACGATCCAAGCTCTACTGGTGAGTTCAGGCCCAGCAAGTGGCCAAGTCAGAAGATTCTGGGTTCGAGTTCTGGCCTTGCCAACAAGTTCCTTGTATATTGTTGAGCATGTCATTCTTTGGATCTCATTTTTCCCCCTCTGTGAACTGGGAAGGGCTAAACTAGATTGCTGTTTCCCAAACCAAGGTATCTTGCAGACTGGTAAAATAGCTAATCTTCCACGGCCTCCTGTCCTCACCATTGAGAGTCTTCCAGTGTTAATTACAAAGTTAATAAATACGTGCACAAATGCACAAAGTAGTGTGGGAGGGAGGACCTGAGCCCTTGAGGGGAAGGGGTTAGACCAAGAAATAGAGACCTAGAAAGAAGGAAAAAGGAAACCTGAGATTGGGAGAAAAAGGAATCAGTTGTTTGTAGGGTTTAGAAATTATGTACTTATCCTAATAAAGTTTTTTGCAGATCCAAGACAATTTATCCCCAAAACAGTAGATTAGCTGGTCTTTAAGGGCCCTTCCATCTCCCACATGCTGATGCAGGCTGGGGGACTGGGACTAATTAGGACACATTTTACCTTGGTATCTTTTTTCTCCCTTTGCCTGATCTCTGTCTTTCCTCCTCTCTCCTGACTGACTGTGCCCTCCTCAGTGGGCATTGCTATTACCAAATGGTGGTGACTCCGGTCATCGAGCAAATCCTGCCTGACTCACCAGGGTCCCGCCTCCCACATACGGTCACCTTGGTGTCCATCCCAGCCTCCGCTGACGGCAAGCGAGGGCTCTCTGTGTCCATCGACCCGCCCTATGGCCAGCAGGGCTGTGGCTCTGAGCACTCCCACACGGTCCGAGTTCGTGGGTGAGCATTCCTCTTGGGGCCCCTCGGGAGGTGGGAGGCAAAGGTGGGTCACGCCGAGGGTACAGCTCATGTGGCGTTTATGTCAGCCCAAGGACTAGCAGGGAAGGAACTGGCCCTGGGGCCAGGGGTTTTGAAAATGTGGGTAAGGACTTCTTGTGAACCACAGCTAGGAGATTCATGCTAAGTGTTGGGGAAAGAATAAAAACTCAGAAATCTCAGGGTTTGGCCTTGGGGCCTTAGTTCACTTCTCTTCATGCAGGGAATTTTCTCATGCATGCAGGATCCCAGACTCATGGAACTGCAGAGTTTGAGGGTTGGAAGGAATGCCATTGACCATGATGGACCACATGAAGGACACACACACATGCACACACACACACACACACACACGCACAAACACACACACGATCCTTGAAGAGAACAATCATGTCCCTGCTGAACCTTCTCTTCCCCAGACTAAACACTTCCATTTCCTCTACCCCATCCTCATATTACGTAGACTCAAGGCCCTTGACCATCCTGGTTGTCTTCCTCTGGACATTCTCCAATTTATCAACGTCCATCTTAAACTGTGGTGCCCAGGGCTGAGCACAGTACGCCATAGGCAATCTGAACAGGACAGAGTACAGTGGAACCATCAGCTCATGATTCCTAGAAGCTCAGCCCCATCACACTCCAGAGAGAGCAAGAAGCTGCCTTCTGACCTGGGGGAGCATCTCCATTTCTGGGCACAGATACTTCCAAATTGGAGGATGTCCAGAGGAGGACAGCTAGGATGCTGGTTTCCCAGCCAGGTCTGGAAACCATGCCATTGGTTGAATGGAATGGGGATATTTAGACTATAGAAGAAAAGATGTAATGGGGCAGCTCGGTGGCGCAGTGGATAGAACACTGGCCCTGGATTCAGAAGGACGTGAGTTCAAACCTGGCCTCAGACACATAACACTTACTAGCTGTGTGAACCTGGCCAAGTCATTTAACCCCATTGCCCAACCAAAAAAACAAAAAAAAACAAAAAGAAAAGATGTGGAGTGGGGCAGGTGGGAGCTGGGAGAGGCACAGTACGTGGGGGATGGCAACTGTCTTCAAATGCCAGTAGGGCTGTAATCTGGAAAAAGGGTAAGATTTGTCCTGCTTGGCCCCTGAGAGTGGAACTAGGAGCAGTAGGTAGAAGTTACAGGGAGGAAGATATTGATTCAATATAATAATAAGTCATGAAGATGATTTAATGATAAACATTTATTAAACATCTACTCTGTGCCAGGCACTGTGCTAAGCACTTTACAAATATTATCTCATTTGAACCTCACGACAACTCTGGAAGGTAGGTGCTATTATTATGCCTATTTTACAGTTGAGGAAACTGAGGCAGATGGAGGTTAAGTGACTTTCTCAAGGTCACACAGCTAGTAAGTGTCTGAGGCTGGATTTGAACTGAGCTCTTTCTGACTCTAGGGAATGAGATACGTATGTCCTTCACGTACAGACTGTGAGAGCTATCCAGCAGTAGGTGTAAGCACTTCTTGAAAGTACTGAGCTTCTGGGGGCAGCTAGGTGGTGCAGTAGATAAAGCTCTGGCCTTGGAGTCAGGAGGACCTGAGTTCAAATCTGGCCTCAGACACTTGACACTCACTAGCTATGTGACCCTGGGCAAGTCACTTAACCCCAACTGCCTCACCAAAAAGGAAAAAAAAAGTACATTACTGGAAGTACTCAAGCAGAGGCTAGAGAGCCATAGAGGGGGCTCCTGCATAGTTAGAAAGTTGGACTAAATGACCTCTGAAGGTCCCTCCCAATTCTGAGATTTGAGGATTCCCCCAATTCCTGACCCTTTCTGTCCCCAGACTGGAGGCTGGGCAGGGACAAGAAGCTTAGAAATCCAGTCACGTCACACTAGAGAGAGATCCGAGAGTCATGCTCACTATTGGCTAATCTCAATACTCCCAGGCCCGTCGGTGAGCGTTCCCCGCCCCCTCCACCTCTCAGCCAATGGACTAGTACTTTTATTAGCTGCCTGCTCTGGCCAGGGCACTGGGGAGACAAGGACAAACAATGCAACTTGCCTGCCCTGGAGAAGCTGACGTTCTAGTAGGGGAGACAGCGTGTGCAAACACGAGTCAATAAGCCAAGGCTGGGAAGGAGGCAGGGCCTGGCCTCAGACACCCCACTTCTCCAAGTTTGGGGAAGGAGACTTAAGGAATGGGACCCTCCTTGTTCACCTCTTCCCTTCCTAAAGTTTCCTAGAAGGAAATGGATTTCAGCCATAGCTCCTCAGTCTTTTCCGATGAATGCATCTTTTGGTTTTTTTGTTTTTTGTTTTTTTTAATTAACTGAAAGCATGATTGAGCAGAAAGAATGTGGGATTTGGAATCAGAGCCCTGGGTTCAAGTGCCAGCTCTGCCACTTACTACCTGTGTAACCTTGGACAAATCACTTCCCTGTCTGGGCCTCAGTTTCCTCAGCTGTAAATTGAGAGGGTTGGACCAGGGGACCTCTATGACCCTTCCATCTGGGAATCTACGATCCCTAAAACTAGAAGGCCTTGGTAGGCGAGACTCAGTTAAGTGGTTGGGCCCTAACTGGGCAAGGGAGGAGATTGATTGGCAGTTATGAGACTTTACTCTTCGTCTCTCTGGGCCTAGGCCCTGCCAACTGGAAATAGAAACACTTTGCTAAGTCTCCCTGCTGCTCCCAGCCCTTCCTTTAGGGGCTTGGAGGAATAAGCCGAATCCCTCTTCCCTGTGTTAGCAGAGCATGATCCCACAGTGGGCTTGGCAGCGGTCTGATTGTCAGGACTCCTGGTGGGGGTCCTGAACCTTTCTGTTGCCCATCCAGTTGTTGGTGTGAACGGTCCACCTTTTGCCAGCAGTTAAGGCCTTTATTGCTCCCTCATAACAGTTCCTTCCTCTGCTAAACGTGGGAGTTGGTCCAGATGATTTGTAGTCTCCATCCATTCTAACATTCCATGACTGCATGGCAGTTGCTGGTCTGTCCAACTTTTTCTATTCTGTGCTCTGTAGAGTGGACCCAGATTGCATCAGTCCAGATGTGAAGAACTCCATCCACATTGGAGATAGAATCCTAGAAATCAATGGTACTCCCATCCGGAACGTGCCCTTAGATGAGGTATTTCCTGCAGTGGGGTCTTTCAGCCTGTGTGGAGGTGGGCAAATGGAGTGAAGGGAAGTCTGATGGGTAGGGGAGGGCTGAAAGCTTTCATGCCATCTTGCTCAAGCACACCCATGCTTGCTCTCTGCAGATCGACCTGCTGATCCAGGAGACCAGCCGCCTGCTCCAGTTGACCATTGAGCATGACCCCCATGATGTCCTGGCCCATGGCACAGCTCCAGAGGCCAGCCCTCTGGCAGATCTTCGAAGTCCACTATGCTCCCCGGTCCGAACCCCCAACACAGAAGCAGGAGGGCCTGTCCGGCAGAGGCCTGTCCTGTAAGTCATCTCCAGAATTACCCTCAGCTCTGGGCCTTCAGACAAGGGCCATGGCTGAAAATAAGGCCCACCTTCTCCCACTATTGCTTTTTCTGGCTGTTTCCCAATTTGAGAATGAGCCATAGGCTCCTAATGAAGAGAAAATTGTTTTTGTAGATAGCTCCCTCTGCTGACAATTAGCAACTTTTCAACTAGGAATTGAATGGGGTGACCTCACTAGCCATTTACTCGTGTGTGTAGCTAAGACCCTTTGGAAACCAGATCACTGGGGGCAGCTAGGTGGCACAGTGGATAGAGCATCGGCCCTGAAGTCAGGAGGACCTGAGTTCAAATCCGGCCTCAAACCAAACACTTGACACTTACCAGCTGTGTGACCCTGGGCAAGTCACTTAACCCCAATTGCCTTAAAAAAAAAAAGGAAACCAGATCACTTAAGACATGGTCTCCCTGGACTAACCTTACCTATAGGCAGACAAGGTAGGAAGTCACTACAGTTGGTGTGAATTCATCAGGACCTGGAAGATCCCCTGTCCCCCACCTTCTTCTGACATTAGACAACCAATAAACATTTATTAAACACCTACCATGTGCACAGCACTTTGCTAGGTCCTGGAGATAGAAGGATGGAAGTGAAATATCCCCTGCTTACATTGCCCAGTTAGGACTCAAGCTCAGATTCCCCTGCAGCTGGAGTATAAGCACTCATTCACGCTAAGATGTGAGGAACTGGGCAGGGTTTAATAAAGTGAGGGGCAGAAATATGAGACTATTGAGCACCTTAGGTAAGTGAAGGAATCACCCCAAAGGGGGAAAAGGACTCCAATTAGAATTGGGCTTGCATAATTTGATCATTTTGTTGAGGAGTGGCCTTAAATATGTCGTAGGCAAGGATTATTATGGTAGGAAGGATAGAGGGTAGAAGGAGGGAGAGGGTGGTTCTGGAGGCAGGAGAAGACTCTAGCCCCACCCTCATCCCACGCAGGGGGGGAGTAGGGAGCAGGAGAGCTCTGCCCCAGTCTCTACAAGTCTCTCTTGTCTGTGCCCACAGGAGAAGCTGCAGCATTGACAAATCACCCTGTGGCAGCTCCCTGGGCTCCCCTGCCTCCCAGCGGAAGGACCTGGGCCGTTCTGAATCCCTCCGAATCGTCTCTCGAACCCACCGCATCTTCCGGCCCTCTGACCTCATTCATGGTGAAGTGCTGGGGAAGGGCTGCTTTGGACAAGCCATCAAGGTATGGGCTCTCCCACGGACAGGTGAAGAATTGCTGAATATACTGAGCACCCCCCTCCCCTCAACCTTCCCTTTTACATTTAGGGCATTAAATCAGAGCATGTTAAATCCGGAAGGACCATTTGAATTACTCTGGTCCATACAGATAAGCAAACTAAGACCCAGAAAGGCACAGCTATTCCCTCAGTTACACAGCAAGTTAGTGGCAGAACCAGAGTGAAGGAGGGAAATCTGCCACTCAACTCTTAGACTAGTTTTCTTTCCCCCGTATTAAGGATTGCAAAGCCCAATGTTGACTTCATTTCTCCTGCTTCTACCGTGGTTCCCCTGTGTTACTTGGGTATGACCCAAAAGGTTTTTCTGTTGAGCCGCCTTCCTGTCTGGAGGAGTTAGAGCAGGGCCTTCTGACGGTTTGCCTCTGGGCCAAGCCCGATGTGGTGATTTCCCCCAGGTGACACACCGGGAGACCGGCGAGGTGATGGTGATGAAGGAGCTCATCCGATTTGATGAGGAGACGCAGAGGACGTTTCTCAAAGAGGTCAGTCTGGCTCCAAGGGGCCTACAAGCACTTTGTGGACCCATGCTGGCATCAATCTCACTTCGAGCCAAACCTCAGTTTTGAGTTTGGGGTTTTTTTTAATTGTTTAATTCAATTTTATTTTATTCTTAAGTTTATATTCTCTTCTTCCCACCTCCCCTCACTACTGCTTTAAAAAGACCAAAACCCAAAAAACTCCAAGCCTCGGTTATCCAATTTGTAGATCATGTAGTGTCTTGTGAGCTAGAGGTTAAATAAGGGGAGGACCCTGAGATCGAAGACTTAGAGTCAGAAGTGACCTCTGACGCCATCTAATCCAGCCCCGCATTTTACAGACGAAGCACCTCACGTAGAGAGGTAAAGTCACTTGCCCGATGTCATACAGGCAGTGAGCATCACAGAGATGGGACCCTCGGACCTCAGAGCCACTGAGATCTTTCCAGTAAAGGGGAAAGAATAAAACCCACCCCAATTGTTCATTAGCTTGGAAAAATCTATTGATAAGAACCACAATAACCATTTATTAAGTCCTTGCTATGTGCCAGGCATTGTGCTAAATGCTGGGGATACAAAGAAAGGCAAAAATAGTCTCTGCCCTCGAGGTGCTTACATTCTAACGGGGGAGGCAATGTGCAAACAACAATGTACAAGCAAGATATAGTCAGGATAAAACAGATCAGCAGCATAGAGAAAGCACTAGCATTGAGGAGAAGGGGGCAAGGCCCCTTGTGGAAGGTGGGACTGTAGCTGAGACTCAAAGGAAGCCAGGAGTACCAGGAATAGACACCGAGTCAGGAGGGGGCTGTCTTATTGGAGGGACAGCAAGCAGTCCAGTGTCACCAGATCCTAGAATACGTGGAAGGCAGTACGGTAGAAGAAGACTAGAAGATTGGGAGGGCTTTCAAAGCCAGACCAAAGGCATTATGTTTAATCCTGGAGGATAGGGAACCCTGGAGTTTATTAAATGGGGGACATGGTCTGATGTGCACTTTAGGGGGGTCACTTTGGTGGCTGTCAATGGAGGATGGCCTAGAGCGGGGAGAGTCTTGAGGCAGGGAAACCTAGCAGCAGCTAGTCCGGGAGTGAGGTGATGAGGGTCTGTGCCCGGTGGCTGGTGTCAGAGGAAACAAGGGGGCATGTTCAAGAGATGTTGGGAAGGTAGAACAGACAGGACTTGGCGGCGCACTGGATATGGGCAGAGCGGGGCGCTGGAGATAATGAAAAGTTGAGAATGACCCCTAGGTCGTGAGCCTGGGTGACAACGAGAATGGTGATGCCCTTAACAGTAATAGGAAAGTTAGGAAGAGGGGAGTGTTTGGAGAGGAAGGTGACGAGTTGGGTTTTGGACACGTTGAGTTTAAGAGGAAAGTGGGACATCCAGTTTGAGGCATCCAGTAAGCATTTGGAGATTGGAGACTGCCTGTTAGGGCTGGAAATCCCATTCACTACAGCAGCATTTCCAAACCTACACAGAGGTGATGGTGGAGAATCATTAGCATAGAGATGATGATTGAATCCATGGGAGCTGATGAGGTCCCCAAGTGAAATGGTATCGAGAGGGAAGAAAAGAGGGGCCGAGAGGGGGCCCTCATGGTTAGCAGGCGTGATTTGATGAAGGTCCACCAAAGGAGACTGAGTGTAAGGGGAGGAATTGGGCAGAAGAGAGACTGTGAGCCAGGCATTGACCTCATGGAGGGAGGAGAGTGTCCTGGGATCTATAAATGATAACTGCCAGGTTCTTGATTGGGTGAAAAAAAATGAATTGAATGAATCTCCAAGGGGAAGTGGCTGTTGTGTGATGGGAGGAGAGGGAGAGTCCGGAAGTGACGATGGGGAACAAGAATTATTCCAGTTTTCCCACCATGACCGGCGAGTTGGGGGAAAGGGTGGTCAGGGAGGTCGTGATCTTGAGTGGGACAGTGGTGGGGAGGAGTGGGGGGTTACAGGGTACAAGGGAGCCAGCAGAGAGGAATGGGCAACAAAGCTGATACAGTGGCAGCTGGGGCTTCAGAATCATTGAGATGGGGTTGGAATATGCCTGTCATCGAGGAATGAGTTCAAGCAGGTTGTTATCATTCCCAGGGAGGCTGGAAGCCAGGGTCCACGTGGGGCAGGCCAGAGGTGAGCTGATAATGGAGAGTGAGCAGCAGCACTGGGCCTTATCACTCTATGGAGGTTCCAGCAAGAGAATAGATTTCCAAAGAGCTAGGTTATGTAGCCCAACCCCCTCATTTTAAAAATGAGGAAACTGAGACCCAGAGACAGAAGTGATTTAGCTAAAGTCAATCTACTTTAAGCATCTGTAAAGACCGATTAGAAAAGTTACCTTTCAGAAATATTTGGGGTTCTCTGAGGGTACCCTCTTTTGAAAGCAGAGATGGGGGAGCTTCAGAGCTCTGCTCTTGTTAGCCTCATCTGCCCTTTGCTCTCATCAGCGAGGGTCCCCCAGCTGCTTGACACCATCCCTTTCTGCAGATACAGACCAGCCTCCCTTTCCTGAACAAGGGGCCCTTCCTCTCCTGGGAACCCAAGAACAGAATGTTTCTTTCCTCATGCCTGTACTTAATTCTCCGACCCGGAGGGAGATGCACAGACTCATCAAAACAGCCGATTGAGGGAGGAATCCTGGATGCTGGGGGGTGGACCTCTTCCCAAAATCACCCAGGGTTCCCAACCTGTAGTAACCTTTCCCAAAGGGGCCGTTTGGATCCTTGATGCAATCCAAAGCTCACAGCTTCCTGTCCCAGTTGGATCATCTGTGAGGATGTTTTTAGCTACTCTGACCCCGGGCCCTTGTTTGCTCTGATTGGTAGCAGGGCCCCTCGTCCTGAATTGGTAGGATCTAATTAGAATCAGTTATCATTTATAGATCCCAGGACACTCTCCTCCCTCCCTACCTCCTTCCATGAGGTCAATGCCTGCTGTGGGGCTGTTTGGGTAGGCTGTAGCTCATACATGGAGGTTATCAATAATACCTGTGATAATTGGATAGTTGCTATATCTGTAATCTTATCCATGGAGACTCCCTCAGCTGCTGTAGATTGTAATTTAGCCACACCTTCTCATCTTCTACAGTCTTTCCATAACCATTCCATAACAGTATAGTCATTCAACCCAACACTTGTTAAGCGCTTACTGTATGCCTGTGATTTCCAGAGTCGTTCACCTGGGTTACAGACAGCTGGGATGGAGCAAATCCAGCATTGGGCCGAGAGCTAAGGGTCCAGAGTCCTGGGTCCAGCTCTGCCAACATAAATATAAAGGATCATAGATTTAGAGCCAAAAAGAATGTTAGAGGTCATTTATTCCAACCCATTCGTTTTCTAGATAAGGCAACTGAGGCCTTGGGAGGTGACATTTGTTATTTGCCAAAGGTCATAGAAGTAGTAAATGGCACAGCCAGGATTTGAACCTGGATCCCCTGACTCAAAATCCATCTCTCATTCTCCCATACCACACAGCCTTCTCCTGGTTACAAGTTTCACAAGGCCTATAGAAGAGAGGAAGGTTGGGCTGGGGCAATGGGCGCAGGTACCACAGTGGGCCATGGGCTTGCAGGAGGTAGAAGAGTCCCTCTCTACCCTTCCCACCTGGAGCTCCACCTAAAGTACCTGCCCTTTATCCACTCCTCAGGTGAAGGTGATGCGGTGCCTGGAACATCCCAATGTGCTTAAGTTCATTGGAGTGCTCTACAAGGACAAGAGGCTGAACTTCATCACCGAATATATCAAGGGTGGCACCCTCCGGGGAATCATCAAGAGCATGGTGAGTGTGTCATAGTGGTTAGTGCTACAGTAGAGATGGGGGCTCAGAGCTATAGATGGTGAGTGTATTGTAGTGGTTAGTGCTACAATGGAGATGGGGGCTCAGAGCTATAGCTATGGTCTGCTCTGAGCCAAGAACCGAATAGCCCCTTGGTGGCCGGTAGCATTTGTGAGACAGCTGACTGAGGTCAGCAGAAGCCAGAAGGCTAGTCCTACACCAGGGTTAGGGCCCAGGTCTGTGTTTGGTGATGGGATTGATTTGTCTAGGGTTGAAGGTCTAGTCTGGATGCTGAGGTCAAGGGCACAGTCTGAGCCTAGAGTCAAGGGGTCAATCTGGGGAAGGAATGAGGAAGAAAGGAAATAAGCATATATTTAAAAAAGTACTTGCTATGTGTCACATACTGTGCTAATACAAATACAAGCAAAAAGAAAGACAGTCCCTGCTGTCAAGAAGCTTACACTCTGATGGGGGAAGATGAGACATGAAAAGGACCTGAAGGGGGGAGCAGGGCAGTGAAGGTATTCAGCACAGGGGCATAACTTTGAAGTCCAGAAAGCCAGGAGGGCCATGCAGGCAGGCAGGCAGGCCTGGGCCCCTTTACAAAATGTAGGCTCCAGGAGGAACCCACGGAAGAGAGAAGGGGGTTGGGCCAAGGGCAGTGGGGTCAGTCTGGGGCAAGGGTCAGGGCCAAATGAAAGGGTTGGCCAGGAGCCAGGGGATAGGGTTGTAAAGAAGTGAGGCAAAAATGGGCCTCGTTTTAGAGCTGGAACAACTGGCCTCCGAGATCATTACCTTGATCTCCCTAAGGTCCCCAAGCCGATTCAGAGAGAGCCCAGGGATGCCTGGCCTCTGCAGCTTGGCATGAGGCTGTCCTGCTGCTGCAGGGTATGTCTGGGGCTTGCATCCCTGCTAGCCCCACCTTGTACCCCGGCCATCCATCTCTTGTCACAGATCAGTGGCAACTCCCTCTCTGTCTCCACAGGATAGCCAGTACCCATGGAGCCAGCGGGTTAGCTTTGCCAAAGACATCGCCTCTGGAATGGTAAAGGGGCAGAGGGCAAAAGGAAAGGGGAAACAAGACAGAGAGGGCTGTGGGAGGGGGTCCAATGCCCCTGGGTGACAGTAAGGAAGACTCCCTGCTACTGCCCTCTCCTCACTGGTCTTTTAAAGCATTGGAAATTCCACCATTAGGGATTCACTCCTTTGGGTACCACATTCTCTCTCTAAGATCTCCACTTAACAGGCAAATTTTCCCTAGGATGGGGAACACATAAATTCTTTTATGAGGTTATCAGCAGCTCTCCCAGGCTTGGTCTGCAGTGAGGAAATGGAAGTAAAAGGCAGGAGTGGGGCAAGGCAGCCAGGCCTGGGTTACATCTGCCCTGGGAGTGGGATGGGATGGATAGTATTTGGGGGCAGAGGCCTGGACCTGGGGATCCCTGTTGCCTTGGGCCAAGGTCAAGGGAAGAGGGATCCCAGCTCAAGCCGACCCCCACCTTCCTTTTACACACAGGCCTATCTGCATTCCATGAACATCATTCACAGAGACCTGAATTCCCACAACTGCCTGGTGCGAGAGGTAAGGTCACTGACTGTCAGAGGAACTGGGGCAGGAGGGCCGGGAGCCAGAGGCTTTGTGGACTGTCGGTCTTTCGCTCTTGTTTCCTTTCTCCCTCTCTCCTTTTTCTTCCTTTCTGGATCTTCCTCTCTCCCTCTTTCCCTATCTTTCTATCTCTTTTTTCCTCTCCCTCTCTCCCCTTCTCCCTCTCCCCTCTCTCTCCTCTTCCCCCTCTCCCTCTCTCCCTCCCTCCCCCTCTTTTCCCTCCCTTTCATTCCCTCTCTGTGCCTCTCTTTTGTGTCTTTCTCTTTCCCACACAAGACATCTGTGGCCTCTTGGCTTCAGAACAGTGTCTAAGTGGGATCCCCAGAGCTGCTGGGCTTTCCCCCCATTCTGCACTCCTTCACCCAGCTTCCTCTAGGCACTGTACCGTTATTCAGCTGAGTCTGTGAGGGAGACAGGAGAAGTAAGGGGCAGGATCCCTGCCCCCTGAGAGGTCCCAGCCCAGGAGGGAGACGACTCCCAAAACATCTGACAGCACCCAGCATTGGACTGGGGGCTCAGCCGAGAAGAGAGGTCGGCGTAAGCCGGCGTAGTGTAGGAAGGCTTCCTGGACAAGATGGGAATAGAGGGGAGGCCATTCTAAGTTCAGTCAGATTTGGGCGGGGAGAGAAGAAAGAGGAAGGAAGAGGTGGGCGTTCTTAGTAAGGGGCACGTTGGGAGGAAGTGGAGGCAGGAATAGCCAGGGCATGTGGCACATGAGGGGGCCAGCCACCTCAGACCCTTTGAATGAGCTCATTCACCGTCACTGAAGGATGAGAGGGACCCTTCCAGGAAGGGTTAAGGCCCTGGCAGAGTCAAGGAACACCCCCAGGCCGTGGAGCCGCCTCCGCTGGCCTCCTCTGCCCCCTTCCTCCCAGTGATTCCTGTGGGCGGGGTGGGGGATGTCATAGCTGGAAGCGAACTTCGAGTTCCTCCAGGCCGGCCCCTCGTCTGACAGATCAGGAAGCATCTGAGGCAGGTTTTGGACCCTGTCTTCTTGAGTCTTCAGTCCAGTGTCATGTCTGCTACTTGTTCCCCTCGGAATCAGATGCCAGGGGGATCCTAGGAGTCCTCTCTCTTTGCCCCCAGAACAAAAATGTGGTCGTGGCCGACTTTGGGCTGGCCCGGCTCATGGTGGATGAGAAGAACCAGCCCGACCAGCTGCAGAGCCTGAAGAAGCCAGACAGGAAGAAGCGATACACTGTGGTGGGGAACCCCTATTGGATGGCTCCTGAGATGATCAATGGTGAGTGTTGGCAGAGGGGGCCAGGGGACCCTCCCTCCTCCCTCCCCGCTCCTCCTTCCTCCCCTGCCCCTCCCGGCAGCATCTCCAGCTGGGCTCAGGAGAAGCTAGGGCACTGCAAAGAGGGCCTACGAGTCCTAGGTACCCAGCCCAGGGCTCTCAAGCTCCCCTGCTCAGGCAGAGTGACCCCAGTTACCATCGCCTCCCTGCCATGAGGCTGTGGCCCACTGGAAATGAGCACCCAATTCGAAGTCAAGGGACATAGGGTTCAGATCCCATCTCTGTACCTAACACCTAGATGTGACCTTGCGCAGGTCTCTGGGGCTGTTGCCTCATCTGTGAAATGTGTGCCTTCTATCCATCAATCGACCAGTAAGCATTTATTAAGCACCTACTGTGTGCCATTTGCATGGCATGATGGAGTGGCTAGAGAGCTGACCAAGTCGGGAAGCCTCTGAGATGTACTGCCTGGGCGACCCTGGGCAGGGCAGGGCATCTCCTAAGACTCTAGTGCTCGTCCCCTCTGGTAGAGGGAGCTTCCTCATCAGTCCTTCCCCATGTCGGTGAAATCCTAGTTCGGAGCCAAAAGAAAAAAATGAAACAATCCCTGCCCTCAGGGAGCTTCCATTCTAATGGCCTGCCTTAAAGGACACTGAAAAGTACTGGGCATGTAGGAAGGGAACCGTAAAAGAAAAATGCCATCTAAGCACAAGGGAAGAGAGGATACAGAAGGAGACGATTGTTGCCAAGAGGTCAAGAAGGATGGGGTCTTGAAAAAAAAACCTACTGACTTTGGCAGTAAAGAAATAATTAGTTCCCTTAAATATCAGTACTATTAAAATGAGAGCCATCCATAAAACTTATTTTAAAAAAAAAAGAGAGAAGGAAGGAAAAAAAAGACAACTGAGGCGAGGGAATGGGTGCCTGGGGATGGGGTCAAGGGTCCTAAGTCGAGGGGCTGGTGTGGACACAGAGAAGAGTCAATCATTGAGCTCAGTCTCTGAGACCAAGGCAGAGCAGGAGAGGTTGGGGCTGATGCTGAAGGAATTGGAGATGGAAGACTGGAGAAGAAGGGCATTTTGCCCCCTCGCCCTCTCCCCACCTCCCCCGTTAGACTGTGAGCTCCTTGAGGGCAGGGACCTTGTTTTTGCCCTTCTTTGTACACCCAGGGCTTAGTCAAGTGCCCAGCATATAGTAAAAGCTTAATAAACACTGACTGACTGACTCACTCACTCACTACTGATGGCCTTAGTATTTTGAGCAAAGTGTGAATGTGGGGAGGGGGAAAGAGGGTGGCATAGGTGGCATGAGGAGAGGTTTGGCGTATCCAAAGTAGGGAGAGTGATGATCAGTCAGAGAAGAGGAAAAGGATGGGTGTGCAGCGGAGAGGGCCTGCGGGAGGCTGGACACCATAGGTTTGTGGACAGTCTGGTCAGCAGATCGATGGCTCCTTCTAGAAAGGTTCTAAAGCCCAGGCATAGAAGCAGAGGCTGAGGGCAGAAGGAATCTGTAGTCGGGGTCTGGAAGGAGATGAGAATCAAAGGGGACAAAGGACTCCCAAAGGTAGGCCAGGCTTGTGAAAGGAGGAAAGTGAAGCCAGAGCGAGGGCAGTGCCTGGGAAATCAGGGAGGCATGGAGACTCCAGATTCCAGTGACAGCTAAGTCAGAGCATCGTTCACTGTCAGTGATGAATTGTGTTCGCCTTGTCAACCTGCCCCCTGATGAGGTGTGATGATGGCAGGGCCTGAAGAGATGAGATCATGGATTGTCGCCATATTGAATTAAACATCCAACGAACCAGCATTTATTAAGCTCCTTCTATTTGCCAGGCACTGTGCGAGGCACCAAGGATGCAAAAATAAAAGTGAGACAAGTCCTGCCTTCAAGGAGCTTGTAGTCTAATAGGATGTTTATGGCCAGGGTCTCAATCCAGCTCTTGCCCTCCACCTGCTGGGAACACCCATGGGGGCTTCCATTCTGGGGCATCTCCCCACTCTCCCAGGCCCAAGCTGTTCCCCCAGCTTGGGGGGTGACTGCTTTCATCTCTTCACCCAGGGCACAGCTATGACGAGAAGGTAGACATCTTTTCCTTTGGCATTGTCCTCTGTGAGGTAGGTTCCTCTGGGTGCTGGGGAACAGGGAAGGGTCAGCGGGTAGCTTAGGGTCCCCTGGTCTGGCACAGTCCAACATTGGTTACCTAAGGCAGGGTCTAAGCAAAGGGCTTTGCCTGCTGAGGGCGGGGGAGGGCCTGGGCAGCCTGGGGAGAGGGGGGGCGGTCCTATCTGAATGCTCTAAGGATGAGCCTTCTTCCATATGTATAGAGTATGGAGTATGGAGTATGAAGATGCTTCCTGGCATCTTCCTGACTCCAGATCCGGTGCTCTTAATCACATGCCCCCATTAGCTGCCTCAAACCGAATTGTCTACTCTGTCATACTCTTTATCTGGTCCCTCTTATAATCAGAGATTATATATGCTGTGCCTCAGTTTCTTCACCTGTCAAATGAAGGAGTTGGGCTCAGTGGCCTCCCAGTTCCCTTCCAGCTCAGACAGCCTGGGGGCTTCAGGAATATAGAGGGCCCATCTCTCTAGGGAAGACGCTTGTTTCTCTCCATCAAGCTGCTTGGCTAGGGAGACGTCAAACATTGGCACTCTGGCCATTGCAATGACCACCTGGCAGCGTCTAGAGAACTTTGGGATGCTCTGTCTGCTAGATCATCGGCCGGGTGAACGCCGACCCCGACTACCTTCCCCGCACGATGGATTTCGGCCTCAACGTCCGAGGATTCCTGGATCGATACTGTCCCCCCAACTGCCCGCCAAGTTTCTTCCCCATCACCGTCCGCTGCTGTGACCTTGACCCTGAGAAGAGGTGAGCGGCTGTGTGGGTAGATCGAGGGAGGGCCGGGTTCCCATGAGCAGCCGGGGCCCAGGGAGATGGAGGAAAAGCAAACTACAGGGAAGGGAGGGTGGGGGAGTCTCTGAGGCTGGGCAGGCCGAAGGGGCAGTGCCCCCGCTTGGGTAGGGCCTCTGTGCAAGTGACGAAGTGCCCACCCCCCAAGTTTCCCTTCCTTTGGGTCCCCAGGCCATCTTTTGTGAAGCTGGAGCAGTGGCTCGAGACCCTTCGCATGCACCTGGACATCCATCTCCCCCTGGGACCACAGCTGGAACAGCTGGATAAGGGGTTCTGGGAGACCCACAGGCGGGGCGAGAGCGGGCTGCCCATGCACCCAGAGGTCCCCGACTGAGCCCGCCTGGACAGCCCTGGCCCTCCTGGCCCCATCCCGCACAGGAGCCCCCGTCTCAGATAGCATCAGCATCCGCTCACATTGACAGCAGAGCAGGAGGGAGGGGAAGGGAGAACCTTCCCCTGCCCCATCCATCCCCCACACCGGCTCCCTCCTGGGAGCCGTCCAAGCCCCCCTACAGTGCACAGTCATCATCTCCTTCTCGCACTCGCCACACCCTAGGGTCTGGCCCCAACTCAGGAGCCCGTCCTTTCTTTGAGGAGGTTAAGCCAGGTCTGTCCAGTGCAGCTCAGGATCTCCTAGGGCTTAGGGGCATGGGCAAGGGGGCAGGGGTCACCTCCCCCTAAGACCCTACCCCGTGAAGTCTGGGGGGAGGGAGGGGGCAGAGAGAGTGCCTAGGCACCTTCCTAGAAACGGTCACCATTGGTGACCGCCCCAGCTTCACGCTTCAGCACTCATACCCCCCTCCCCCATCTTTGCCCCCACCCACCAACCCCTCTCTACCAACCCTTTCCCATAGCGTGTTCTTTCCTCACTCTCACTGTGACTGCCCTTGGCTTCTGGTCGTGGCCACTCTCCCCCTAGCCTTGCCTGTAGCTCCCGTCTCCTGCCCCTCGTCTCTGGGATTGGCCCAAAATGTGGCCCTCACCAGCACCTTGGTGATGCTTCTGTCGCGGTCCTTTATTCTCCCTAGCTTTGGCCCTGCCTGGTGAGCCGTGCTCCCCTCTCCTACCGCCAGCCCCCACTTGTGATCCTCTCCCCCTCCCACTTGTGGTGGTGATAGGGGACAGGGTAAGGCGGCAGTAAGGGTGGGGCCTGGGAAAGGAAGAAAAGCTGCCCCCTCCTCTCCCCCACCCCTATTAATTCCCCAGTGGGAGGAATGAGGGAGGGGTTGCCCCATCCCTGGAGAGAGAGCCAAGGGACCAGCACTGGTACTTCCAGCATCCCCAGCATGTTCTGTCCTGACTGAGTGGTGCCTTGGGCTTGAGGGGGTTTGCACCGGAAGGGAACGAGGCAGGGTAGAGGCACAAAACCCTTAGCGTATCGTTTTGTTATTTTTTTTTTTCAAATATAGAATTTCCAGGAATCGCTCATAAGGTTTTACAGGGCTTTGCTCCAAATGTGTGTTCCCTGTGGTTGAACTCTTCAGGACGTCTTCTCTCCCCGTCCCCCATGCTGCTGAAAGTGTGGCCTTGTTTCAGGGAGTGCATAAGGAGTGTGTGTGCATACATGCGTGCACATGCGCATGTATGTGTGAGTGTTAGTTACCCGTAAGCAGACATGAAGGTCTGCTCTGTCCAGTTGCACACGCCTCTAGATGGAAATGCACATGTGGATTGTCTCAATGGTCAACCTCATCTAACATCTGCATGGCGCTCTCTACCTTTCAAAGCCCTTTCTTTCACATTCATTCTCTTATTTGAGCCACACAACAACTTTGTTGTCTAGACACGTTAGGCATTATTATTCCCATTGTACAGATACGGAATCCAAGACCTAGGTGGGTGAAATCACTCGCTCGTGGTCACACCTAGGGCTTGGTGGCCGAACTGGGACTAGAGCCATATTGCTTAGAAGGTCCGAGCCAGAAGGACCTCAGAAATCATCTCATCTCATGCCCTTCAGTTCACAGATGAGGAGAGAGAAGCATGTGACCCAGGGATCACCCCGAGAGTCAGGGTCAGAGCTGACTCCCTGTGTTCTCTCAGTGATGGCACGCTGGGCCTCTGTACAGATAGGAAACTCTGGTTGGCATCTGTGGCCAAGCCGAGATCAGAACTCAACTCTGTGTGTGTGTGTGTGTGTGTGTGTGTGTGTGTGTGTGGTCACTTTGCTCGGACACAAGGGGAGGCAGATTGGGCAGCTCAGTGGAACCAGGGCGAGGGCAGTGGGAGAGAAAGGGTAGGCCAGTCCAGTGGAACCTTGCCTCCCAGGAAGCCCCATCCTCTACCTGTTTCTGTCATATCTGAGCTCATGGAGCGGGGAGCTGATGTTCCCAGGAGGCCAGCCTGGGAGCCTAGGTTTCATTCGCCACCCTCCTCCCTCATCCGAGGGGGTATTTGGGAAGCCAGTCCTGGGGCCTGTTTACTGCCCTTGTCTGTAGCGCAGAGAAAAGGTCCCCTTCCTCTCTGGCGGTAGGTACTGATCCTTGGGGAAAGAACCCCTTTTAGCTAGAGTATCCCCCTCCTCTTATTTTCTTTTCGTTGAAACCACACCAGATGTTACTAAATTCCTCCGTGTCTCAGCACAGCCCGGGCAGCTGTTTAAGCAGGAGTGGCCGAGGGGCTCTGGGAAGCCAGGAGTGGTGCAGTCTCTCAATGTGGACCCCAAAAGGAGCCGGGAGAGGCCCGGGGGAGGCTGGGGGTGATGGGATGGGGAAGGAAGACAGCAAATGTCTGCCGGCATCTTGCCCAGCCCTTCATCTCGGCCTTCCTGGCCCCGCCCTTGATTACCCTCCCCCAAGGATGGACCAGTGGCAGGTGGAGGAGCAGGGGGGCGGTCTTCATGCTACTGTTTACCCAGGTTCTTTTGTGTAATATATTTTTTAAAAAGAGTTTGTATTATTTTTTCATACAGGGGCTGTAGGGGTGGGGGGAGTTGGGGGGTGTTGTTTTGAGGGGAGAAGGGGTATCTTTTTCTTTCATTTGGGGGCCATTTTTTTTCCCACTCTGCCTCAGTTGAGCTTATAGGAAAGTATTAAAACTGTGATGCATTTCTTAGTGCACTTTGGCCTGGAAAGAAAAAAAAACCCTGGAAATGGGATATTTCTTTAAGGAGGTGGGAAGTGCACTCTCCAGACCTGTGATAACACACAATAAAATCCATACTTTCCACCCACCGGCCTTTGCCTTTTGAAAGCGTGTTCCTATTTTTCTGGGCATCTAGACGTGTGCAAGGGGCCTGACTAGGAGAATTCACGTGCTGGAAAGTTCTCAGCTCCAGAGCTACAGCTGAGATGGGCCGTCCAGGCCAGCCCCCATTTTACAGATGAGGAAACACTCGCCTTAGATCACCGATGGCTTCTGGACTCCAAGTCCCATTCACTACGCCAGTGGGGTCAAACTCTAGTAGAAATTGGGGCCACTAGGCTGTACGTAAAGATGCGTGCAGGCACATACTGAGTTGGAAAAGCACATATTAACATTATCTCTGTTTTATATTTTAATTTGGTTACATATTCCCCAGTTTTAATTTGGTCCAAGTTGCATGATGGGGCCATGCCAGGTGTTCTGCCTCTCCTGCTCCCTTTCATGGGAAGAAAGAAAGGAGACTTGAGTGTTTATTGTTTGCCAGACTCTGTGCTAAGCCCTGGGGACACATACGAACCAAAGAAATAGTGCCTGCCTTCAGGGAGCTTCCATTCTAATGGGGGACCAGGGGATTCTGGATTTACAACTAGGAGGAACCTTAGAACAGCCAAACTCTTTCTTTTGCAGAAGAGCAAACAGGCTCAGAGAGGGCAGTGATTTGTCTAAGGTGAAACAGGTAGTAGAAGAGACAGGATTTGAAATCGGGTCCTAGAACTCCAAATCCAGGGCTCTTTTCACTAGCCCATGCTTCATTTCTCCGCTAAAGTAGTTGGACAAATATTGGTTGTGCGTCCATTCTGTGTGCATCACTGGAGACTCAATGATGAAAAATGAACCCAGGCCCTGCCCTTTGTGGAGCTTTCAACACTTCCTCCCTGACAAGGGGGCTTCCCCATCAGTCATCTCACCTGAATCTTACAATGGGTCTAAGAAGTGAGTTGACTGGGGCAGCTAGGTGGTGCAGTGGATAGAGCACCGGCCCTGAAGACAGGAGGGCCTGAGCTCAGATGCAGCCTCAGACCAAACACTTGACACTTACTAGCTGTGTGACCCTGGGCAAGTCACTTAACCCCAATTGCCTAAAAGTAATAAAAGAAAAAAAGAAAGAAATGAGTTGACTGTGTATTGTTTATCCACAGTTGGTGATCTGAGCAAACTGGGCCCTGGGTGGCCAATGGTTCCCTTTAAATGAGCTTTGTTCCTGTTTTTCAGTCGTTTTCCACTTTTCAGGGTTGTCTTGACACAGATGCTGGAGTGGTTTGCCATTTCCTTCTCTGGTTCATTTTACAGATGAGGAAATGGAGACAAACGGGATGAAGTGACTTGCCCAGGGTCACACAGGCAGTGAGTGTCTGAGGCCAGATTTGAACTCAGTTCTTCCTGACTTCAGACACAACACTCTACCCATTGTGCCACATAGCTGCCCATAACATTTAAATATGGAAAACGGCTATATGAGGAAGACACAGGACTGAGGGAGAAAAATGAAAAGGTTTTTGCAGGTCAGAGAGGGGAAAGATGTCTTCCAACCTTCACCAATGGAAAATGTATCTCATAGCCAGGTCTTATGTGGCCACATGGCCATCCTCCTTCCCAGGAAGTTCCCAGTAGGTGGAAGGAGGGGTCCCTTCCAACTCTGAATCTATAATTCCTGACTTCCACCACACCCAGAAGAAACCCATCATGTTCCATGGTCCCTGGCCTCTCTGCTGCTTGCCATGGAAGAGGCTGGTGGGAAGGTGTCTAAGTCCATTGCAGCTGCTTTGGAGAAATGTTTGCATGTAAAAGGAGACTGACTGGTCAGTGTTCATGGGATCATCCACTTAGAGCTGGATGAAGTCACAGAGATCTATATAATCCAACCCACTCATTTTATAGATGAGCAAACTGAGGCCCAAAGAGAAGTGACTTACCCAAGGTCACACAGCTTGGCTTGTAATAGCAGGAAAGCATATTATTTGGGTTTTTGTTTGTTTTTCACATACAAATGGAAACCTGTGGCTTATCTTGAGAGGTTTTTCCTCTTAAAGACCAACCTTAACCCCAAATCACTCTGGTCCCAGAAGGAGCCCTACTTCCTCACTGTTTGGGCCCTGATTAGCTCAGAAGGAATGTAAATAACAATTGTTTCTGTTTTGGCCAGAAATCCTGAGGATCTTCCCCTCCCAGATCTTTTTTTTTTTTTTTGAGACCATTTTTTGCCTCATTTTATTAAGCCTTAATCACTGAATGGGTGTTGCCTCAGTCAAACTAAGACCTGTTAAAGACCTTAGATTGAAAAGGCCAAGGTCCCCCATGCAACCCTGGGCCATCTCCAGTTCTGCTGATCCATATCTGGCCACTGGACGCAGAGGAGAAGGTGAGGCTGGTGACTCTGCACAGCCCTCCCTCACTTAAATCTAATTCACTCACATGTCATGCATGGCATCACCTCCCTGATGTCAAGGTCCTCTTCCAGAACAAAGGACCAAAAAAACAGCAACCTGGGGACATGAGGAAGGGCAGGGTCACAGTTAATCACCTTCACTGGAGAAACAAGATTATAACCAATAAACCAATCATTTCTATTGTGCATTTATGTGTTAGGCACTGTGCTAAACCTGGGGAAACCTGGATTAAAATTAAACACTCCCTGCCCTCAAGAAGCCTACATTCTAATGGGAGAGTTCATCCCACAAGCATTTATAAAACCCTGATTATGTGCCTAGCAGTAGGAATAGAAAGCAAGAGCAAAAATTTGCCGCTGCCCTCTAAAAGCTTCCACTCTAATGAGAGAGACTTTAATTACTAGGTGCATACAAGATACACACAGAGCAGATATAAGGTAACCTTAGAGGGGAAGGTCCTAGCAGTTGAGGGGCAGTGATTGTTCAGTCACGTCAAACTCTTTATGTCCCCATTTTGGGGTTTTATTGGCAGAGATACCAGAGCTGTTGGCTATTTCTTTCTCCAGCTCATTTTACAGATGAGGAAACTGAGACAAACAGGGTGAATTGACTTGCCCAGAGTCAGAGAGCTAGTTAAGTGTCTGGAGCCAGATTTGAACTCATAAAGATGAGTTTTCCTGACCCCAGGCCAGGCACTGTGTGCACGATGGCACCACCTGGCTGAGGAATAGGAGTGGGAAAAGATGCTATTCTAAGAGGTGGAGGTCAGGAGGGAGAGTCTTCCAGATGTAGGAGACAAGCAATGGAGTATGGACGGCATGGAGACAAGAGGCAGATTGATAACCCATGGCCCCCAAAAGTTCCACAAGGAGGTATCATTGAGAAATGGACTAGAAAAGGAAGTGGGTCAGTCAAGATGTCACCTGTGAAAATGGAAATTTGACTAAACAAAAACGCATTAGCCTCATGGTGTGTCCAAGGACCACATGCACAGCATGGCGGAGGAGAGGGCCTTCAAGTCAGAAGTGCCATGCGCCAATCCTGTCTCTGTCCCAACCTGGCTGGGGGCTCCATGTAAATTTGCAAAGAAGATGCTGACCTCCACTGGCAGACAGTTTTCTCAATACCGAGAGCCCCCTTTCTCTTTCTCCAGTTTTTTGTTTTTATTTTTCATTGTGATCCTCTTTACTGAGGTCCCTGTGTATCTGGCTCCCCACGATTCTAAATTATGCCCTTTGGATGCCGCAGTCCTTCTATGTGACCACCAGAGGGCGGAGACTTACGGTCCTTGACCAGGGAGTGATGCTGTAGAAACAGAGATGCGAATCCCCCATGCTACCAGCTCCATCCTAGGACAGGGCTGTCACCTGGCTCCTGGTCGTTCCTGATCCTGTGTGTCTAAGCAGCCCCCTACAACATCCACATCCTAGCCTCCTTTCTAGGGATGTTGAGAGAGAGTGGCAGTGAGGCAGGTTAGGTGGTGAGGCTAGGAAAACCTTCCTCAAGTTATCCTCAAGGCTGCCTTAAAATTCTAAAATCAGGGGCAGCTAGGTAGCACCGTAGTGCATAGAGCACCAGCCCTGGAGGCAGGAAGACCTGAATTCAAGTGAGGCCTCAGACACTTACTACCTGTATGACCTTTAGGCAAGTCACTTCACCCCAATTGCCTTAAAAAAAAAAAAAGAATCATAAGATCACAGGTTTAGAGCTGGAAAGGCGTCTCCCTTAGAGGCAGAGCAACCATAGAGATACAGTGCAATGGAAGGCTTGCTGTGTGCCCCTGGGCAAGTCACCAAACCACTCTCAGTCTCAGTTTTCTTATCTGAAAAATGGGGATAATAATAGCATTAGAAGGTTGTGAGAGTCAAATGAGATTACATGTGAAAAGTGTTTTGGCGAACCTTAAAGCTATATTAATGTCACCTATTGTTATTACGAAGAAGGAAACAGGTACTTGCCTTAGGTCACACAGGTAACAAAAAGCAGAACTAAGATTCTAACCAGGGCTGAGGCTTGAACCAAGGTTCTCCCCTTACTGGATGTCTTCAAGCCAAGGTTGGAGAGCCACTTGTTTTTTTGGCTAGGCAGTGGGGTTAAGTGACTTGCCCAGGGTCACACAGCTAGTGAGTGTTATATGTCTGAGGCTGGATTTGAGCTCAGATCCACCTTACTCCAGGGCCGGTGCTCTATCCACTGCGCCACCCAGCTGCCCCTGGACAGCTACTTGTTGATGACGTGGTGTCAGGAATTCCTGTTCAGAAATGATGACATGGGGTCAGGAATACTCATCTTCATGAGTTCAAATCTGGTCCCAGACACTTAACTAGCTGCAAGACCCTGAGCAAGTCACTTCACCC